TTTTCAACAGGTGTATGTACATGTACATAATGTAAATGTAGCGGCAGAGTACCGGTACACTGTGTAGACTAATCCGATTAGACGCCCTAACTGCGGTGGCACCGCATTCATACGCACATTCTTCAGCTTGACGCGCGCGCGTGAAGTTAGGAAATCACGACACCCTGTTGGTCACTGAGGCCGGGGCGTGTACCTGTAACATGCGCAAACCACCTGCCCATGAGGGCTTTGCCACCATGACAGCAACGACCGCCAATTCTGATTATCGAATTACACCATCAGCACTACATGGATGTACATGTACAGGAACACACACGTACGTACTGGTACTAATGCTTGTGGGATATCCGTCAACAGGTGTTTAATACTTAATGACATTACAATGTGGAAGTGGAAAGGAAGCCTGGTCTTTAACACAATAATTAATCAAGAGAAAGGATAATACACGTAACTCAGACAGTGTTCAGGAGAGTGGGCTAAGAAGATGTTAAACCGAAGGCACAGGTAAATGAATACATGAGCAACGTACATGCACTTACTGTATGTCCGTTCGCTGCAACGCAAACCTCAGGAGCCGGGCAATGATATCCGCAACCAATATACTCTCCTCTTGAACCAGACTGTATTCAAAATCCTACAAGCAAAACGTGCAAGTGGAAAATTTAATTCAAAACCTGCTCGCATACTGCAGAATCTGGCAATTTATTCAGCACTGATCGTGTGCATGAACGTATGCACATGGGCACTTGTTGGTGATGTACTGTACATGTACCGGTCCATGTATGTAACTGTTGTGAAAATCTTTACCGGAACAGGAATACATGTACGGTGCCTTGCAAGGTTTCAACCTGCAAGTTTTCTATGTCGTAGTCAAGACCATTCACAAGAACAGACACAAGACCAGTCATAACCATTCACAAGAACAGACACAAGACCAGTCACAAGACAGTTTACAAGAACAGACACAAGACAAGACCACTCACAAGAACAGACACAAGACCAGTCACAAGACCAATCACAAGAACAGACACAAGACCAGTCACAAGACCGTTCACAAGAACAGACACAAGACCAGTCACAAGACCGTTCACAAAAACAGACACAAGACCAGTCACAAGACCATTCACAAGAACAGACACAAGACCAGTCAAAAGACTAAGCACAGGACCTGTCACAAGACTATGCACAAGACCAGTCAGAGTGAACAATGACAAAGGAATGCTTTGGTTGCGGTTCATTTGAACTGCTTGTGACTTGAATTCAGACTGGAGGTCTTGTCGTGGTCTTGTGGTGGTCTTAAGAGGTCCCGACAGCAACACTGCAAGATTTTTAATATGAGAGTCTCTGAACAACCTATGTGGACTGTGCATCTTGAATGCTAATTTCTTGTCCTGTCCTAAAAACCTACAGTGATTCTCATGCCCTTGTCCCTGCACACTCAATTCCAAGTAAATCAGGTAGATCGCTAGATTTTCAGCAGATACATGCGGACAGCCAAAGCATGTTATAGACCATATCTGGGCCCAATTTCATGATGGTGCTGAGCTCAGGATTTTTATGCCAACAGAAGCTCCGATTTCAAGAAGACCGAAAGTACCAGTAAAAAGCATGACAAAAGACACGCCTACCTTGAAAAAAAAATCTGCTTAATGCACAGGCAAGCGTAAGAACTGTGCCAAGCACCACTGTGAAATAGGGCTGAATGGAAAGCGAAAGTTGATGCTTTGGTAAGCACATCTTTTCTATTTGATAAGCAGCTCCACGAAATTGGGCCCTGTACAGACAGGGCTCTGAAAACATGTGTGCACAACAGTCCTGTTGGCATCCGCTCCGAGCAGGAGCAAAAGAGGGCGTGTTTTTAAATGAAATTGACAATCATTTAGTACAAACTCACGGCATAGCCGTGCAGGTTTATGCGCATTTGATGGCGAGCACGTTGAGTGCATGCGACAAATTTATTCTGGAATGTATGGTCTTCATGCGCACACCGAATAGTTGCAAGAACGCGGTTGGAAAACTCCATGCCAGTCTCTCTTTCTTTCGCCAGTGAGGGTGCAATTCAATTCCAGGCAGATGTATGATCAATAGAACAGCATCAATCATAGCTACTTAACAGATCTACATGTACATGTATATGTGCTCTCTCAGTGGTCACAATTATATTTCCACACCTGCCAAATTGCAATCACCTGCTCACGGCAAAATCAAGGGTTTCATCACAATGCATACTTCAACCATGACAACATAACTTCTGGCATCATACATGTACCTGCACTGTTAACCTTTTACGTAAATTTATACACGAACACGTGTAAGTGCGTAACATGTGCACATGCATATACACGAACACGTGTAAAGTGCGTAACATGTAAACATGTATGTACATGTACCGTACACGCATGTCTGACAGAGTGGGTATTGATGAGAAAGCATGAAGTAGACTGATTGATGAAGATACATCATGTATGAAATCATGAAGGCTGAGCTTAAATCTCTAGCCCAAGTACATGTACAATGACTCATTGATAATAATTAACCCAAAACCCATCCAAGGAACTTCCCTCCTTATTGGAGGTAACGGTCCAAACTTTGAAATCAATACAAAAAGTCCACATACATGTATGAAACAAATGGAAATCACTTTTTTTTCCCAATACAATTTAATTTGGTGCAATCAAAAATGACAATTGAGATTGCATGAGCGTGCACATAATATCTATGGCAATGCCTCCAACACAGCAATGCAAACGGTCACCTCATTAATTAATTGTGAAGTCAGTTCTGTGCCTGTGTGCCCCTCCTTCCTGGTCGTTCAGAGGCAGAACATCTGGTTTGATAACAGACGCATGATGTGTACATGTAGGATTCCTGAAGGCATGGCTGCCATTTACCATTCATGAATCCCTTCTTCATGGTAACGGTATACATGTACAGTAACTGTCTCTGTCCCTGTACGTGTAAATTTTTGATATATTTCCACAGCATACACAGACTACTGGCTCACCAAGGCTCTACAGACCTGGTCATGTTTTATAATTTATTATATATAAACAAGATTTCTTCTTTTACGCCAGGGGATCCTTTCCCAAAGGCAATGCTGCCAAACCACATAACGTACGGCTGGACTTTTCTGAAAACATCAGTAATTTGGTTGGTCATAATGACACGCATAAATCTGTTACTGAAATACCTGTATGCATGCATGCCTAAGGGTATGAGGCCATCATGACAACAAAGGAATATGAGAATTCAATCTCGGATGAGGGATCGGGCTTTGGGTTAGTAAACTTTGCACCTGGGCCCAATTTCATGGCACTGTGTGACAGTTAGCAGAAAGGCTATGTGCTTGCTATTGCACAGAATTTTGCTCACCGTAAGCAGTATTTCATGGAAGTGCTCCGCGTTGTCAGGGTTATGGTTGCTTGTGCGTAGAGATTTCTGGTGTTGTCACTGCATTAAGCTATTCTTCCTCGAAGCTAAAGTGTGCCTTTTGTCGCGCTTACTGCTTACGGTTATGATAAAATACATGGAGCCTCTGCTAGACTGAAATTGTGTGCTTAGGCCGTGTTTGTTTCGCACAGATCTGGATCACGGTCAGTGATCCATCGTTAGTTTACAGACACCAAAACTCGCCTAATGGATGGTGCGAACCAGCGTTAGGATCACTGATTGAGATCCAGATCCGTGTGAAACAAACAGGGCCTTAGCAGCACTGTGAAACGTGGGCCCAGGTTTCATGATTGTCACTGATATAGAGGGTCATCTAATGCTCCACGTGGTATGGAAAATATGCAAAGTTTAGGTATGCGACCCAGCAGAGCAGCCAATTGGAGTTGACTTCAAATGTGGCCAGAGCTACATGTACTGATTGGTCAATAGGCTTTTGTCCATTGACCCTATGCAACCAGGTTTCATTCATCTGTCTGCCCCTTCCCGGCTAAAGTTAAAAACAGCCTGTCCACTTCCAGTGAAGTTTTTGGAGAGTGATATCCCTTAGTGCTGTCTGAGGCTGTGTTTCCACTGTACCCTGTGGTTCGAAAGGAAATCTGACTAAATGGTCACCAGTGTAAATGATTTTATAAATGTAAAAATTGGGGGAGAGGGGTGATTAACCCTCACCCCCAAGGGTGTATGTAAAATCGGATTGAAATTGGAGGATTTGGGACTGTTAGGGTTAAGGAACATGTAAAAAGTGTCTGTCCAAATATGTTCTTGCCTGTCCTCAGGCTGTCCTCTATCTAGCAGGTGGCTCGATGCGACGAGAATGCCAAGGATTCCAACCTGGGAATCCAATTTTTTGTGCACCTGTGACATACATGTTTGACAACACTCTCTTTCAATTCCAAAGCGTATTTGTGCAATTTACAGTGTACTAGCACAAAATAAGTCAAAAATACGTGTACTTCCAGGTCAGACTGTTTCGGTGATATTTCTATGTCAAATTACACAGGCCAGGTGTTGGAGGGACACAGAAATGTCACACTTTTGGGCCCCACATTTATTGAAAGGCTTACTTGACTGTCGTCACGGATGAGCAGCTGATGAATATATGTACGTTTGCCAGTAACCAGTGGGTAGCTGAATAAATGTTCTGGTGTCACACCTGTTGATCACACAATGGCATGTCTCCATGTACGTGTACCCGAGTCAGTGCTGAAATTGATTCATGAGTCTAAAGGTCTTCCAATTCAAAACTGGGGAAAAGCACATCCCAAATGTAT